AAAAAAAAAAAAAAGTCATCTCATCCTCTTTCTGTCTCAGTGTGTAGCCTACTGAGAGGCTAAACCATCTTTAAGATCAGGCCTAGCAGGAAAGAATACACTTGTAACTCTTGAATACCACTGTGTTATTGTTTTGTTTTGTTTTTTAAACATATCTCTAGGAAAGCAGGTAGGGCTGGGGAGGACGGTGCTCAGATAATAGTGTATTTTCTGAACAAGAGTCCATTGTATTTTAGGTGGCTGTAGGGGGCTACCCACTCGGATCTGATCTGTGCCTGTAGGCAGGGTGCAGCAGCAGGTTTACGTGCTTCTCGAATGCTGAGTGACGGTTGTGTGTGTTTGAAGAAAAGGAAGCACAGCAAGTTGAGCCGAGCTCTGACCTGAGGCGAGTCTCCTAGGTCCAAGGCCTGGCTTCCCTAGCTAACCCTGTCCCTCTAATTGTACCTCAGTTTCTCCACCTGAAAATGAAGAGTACTGACCTAGAGAGAGCCAGAGAACAGATTGGACTGACATAGAGAAAGATTTTGAACTCAATACAATGTCGAGGCCAGTGTTCTCAACCCTGAGTTCACATCTGATTCACCTGGGGTATTTTAGAAATGGATTCTTGGGTCCCATCCAGAAGTCTAGGGTGGAGCTTAAGCATCAGAATCACGTGGTTCTGGGCCGGCCTCATGGCTTGGTGGTTAAGTGCACGCGCTCCGATGCTGGTGGCCCCGGGGTTCGGATCCCCAGCGCGCACCGAGGCACCACTTCTCCATCCATCCTGAGGCCGAGTCCCACATACAGCAACTAGAAGGATGTGCAGCTATGACATACAACTATCTACTGGGGCTTTGGGGGGAGAAAATAAATAAATGAAATCTTTAAAAAATAAAAAATAAAAAAAATAAAATAAATTTAAAAAAATAAAAATAAAAAGAATCACGTGGTTCTGCTGTTCAGCCAGCATGGATTACCACTGGTCTAGGATAGGGGTTGACAACCGGGGCCCCTACCCAAATCTGGCCAGTTGCCTGTATTTTGTAAATAACGTTTTATTGGAACATAGTCACACCCATTAATTTACTGTTGTCTGTGGCTGTTTTTGTGCTACAGTGGCAAAGTTGAGTAGTTGCAACAGAACTTCATGGCCAGCAAAGCCTAAAATATTGACTGGCCCTTTACAGAAAAAGTTTGCTGACCTCCATTCTAGGGGATACTGATTTTTTTTTTGAAGTATTATTAAAATTTTTTTGTTTTTTTTTAATAGAAAGTCAAGATATCATTTGTGGTTGATGAAACAAGAAATAGAGGTTTGACTTTATTTTTTAAATTGCAGTAAGAGTAGCCTATAGAGGATTGAAAATAGTAATCTGATTATACTAGAAGGGACAAGGGAAGGTGGGGAGTGTGGATTAAATTCTCTTTTCTTGGAGTAGAAAGTCGCTAGATGTGTCTACAGTCACCAACTCAAGAAACAGCCAGTTAAGCACAGTGTTCACAGATATGGCGGTAGCATCCGAAGGATTAGGGGACCTCAGGAGCAGGTCGAGTGGAGGGCTGCTGTTTTTCATTATTAGTTCATCTGTACTGTTTGATTTTTTTAAAACCCTGTGGCATTTTTTTTTTTAATTTAAAAACAAACAATTTTATATAAAATGTTTCTTCTAATTGCAGCATTTACCCTCCAATTCCAGGACAAGAGAGCTCTCTGAGGTGGGCAGGAAAGAAGTTTGAGGAGATCCCAATCGCACACATTAAAGCATCCTACAACAAGTAAGCGGGAAGGGAAGCACCTGGGCAGGTCTAGGGTGGGCTTCTTTCCCCTTCGTGGGGAGGGCAAGTCAGGGCTGGCCCTGGGCACCCTGCTGGGGGTGGAAGTCAGGGTGCTGGGTGCCGCATGATGGTGCTGATGCAGAGGTCCTCCGGGCTCCGTCCTTCTTGTTTTGGGAAACCACCTCTGTCTTTATAAAGTTTATTCAGATATCATGAAAATGTGAATTAGGTGGGGCGTATCATATTGATAAGCTTTCTTTGCTTTCCTTGGGAAATGTATTGCCTGGTTCTGCTCAAGAGTTGGAGAGAGTGTATGTTAGGGGCAGAAGGTCCTTCCATGAAGGTATTTATTAAGTGTTACTGAGTCCTGGGGGATAGGGGATGGGTGATAGATAAATAAGATGAGAGAGATGATTTAAGAATTTTGATTTATTAACAAACTAACCAAAACATAAACCTCCAAATAAGTCTTGTCCCTTTAAAGTACTCACCTTGGGCCACCATGCACTGACCTCCAACCTTGTAGGGCTAAACGTGAATGGTGATTTCACATGACGAGACCAGCGTGCTGTGTGGCTCACAGATGGGTGTTGAGAGAGTTCCCAGCTGTGTTTTGGCAGCAGAAGCCTTGCTGACATGAGTGACAGTTTTGTAGGCCAGCCCCAACTTGGAGATGAGATCAGTATTTGGTCACGGCCTGCCCACAAAGCAATTTACAGAACCACACGAGAGACTGTTGGTAGTCACGGATAGAGTGTGGGGCACAGGTGAGAGGCCATAGGATTCCTTTCAGCATTCATCTGATAAGCTCAAAATGAGAGCAACTGGATTTCTTTTTCTTCCCTTCTCAGGATAAGGACATGGTTAGCTCTCTGTTTGTGTTTTTAAGTGTCTGTGGCCTACTCTATAGATCTCTGTTGAGGTTGTCTCAGGGACAGGCAATTCTCTTATGCTTCTGTTCGGTATAGAAAACCCAGGAAGCCCTGGGAGAGGGAAAGCCCTGGCAGCCATAGCCAGGCCAACAACAGATGGCGGAGCCCAGGGCTGACTCCAGGAGGTCTCTTCATGACCACTCCTCCACTACTCTCTTCACTGTGAGTTCTCAGGGAGCTCTTCAGACCAGAAGACAGGGCAGTGATGGTCAAAGGGGAAATGGAAAACATGTCTAAGGATTTCTTGAAGTTATTCTTAATTTTAATTTAACTTGTTAGAGATGATTAGAAAAAGTTTCACTTATTTAAAAAAATTTTTCTTAATCTTAGAGAATAGAGTGTCATAAGCATTAAAATAATCCAATATGATAATATTGCTAACTTTTTTTAGGTATGATAATGTTTTGTGGGGTTTTTTTAAAGAGTCCTTATCTTTTATTTATTTTTTTTTTTGGTGAGGAAGATCAGCCCTGAGCTAACATCCATGCTGATCCTCCTCTTTTTGCTGAGGAAGCCTGGCCCTGGGCTAACATCCATGCCCATCTTCCTCTACTTTATGTGGGACGCCGCCACAGCATGGCCTGACAAGAGGTGCATTGGTGTGTGCCCGGGACCCGAACCCAGGCCACCAGCAGCAGAGCGCACGCACTTAACCACTACGCCACGGGACCAGCCCCAAGAGTCCTTATCTTTTAGAGGTGTATGCTGAAATATTTACAGATGAAATGATGGGTCTGGGATTTGCTTCAAAATAATCCTTTAGTGGCGGAAAGAAGGGAGTGGAAACAGGGTTTATAGATGAAACTAAATTGGATATGAGTTAATAATTGTTGAGGCTGAGTGATGAGTCCATGGGAGTTCATGTACTATTCTATTCACTTTTGGGTGTATTTGAAACTTTACTTAATGAAAAGTCTTTTTAAAAATTACCTGATGTGAAACATCTAACTTCTTAGGAAAAACAAGCCAGACAAGGACATCAAATTTAATTTAAACACCGGCTACAGGGAAGATCCTCAGAGGAAAATGTGCCACCCTTCTTCTGGATGACACTTAACCACCCTCAGGTTATGGAGCTTGTCTTAGTCAGCTTGGGCTGCTATAGCAATATGCCACAGACAGGGTGGCTTAAACAACAGACATGTATTTCTCACAGTTGTGAAGACTGGAAGTCCCAGATCAGGGAGCCAGCATGGTCGGGTTTTGGTGAGAGGTCTTCCAAGTTGCAGATGGCTGGCTTCTCCTTGTGTCCTCACATGGTGGAAGGGGTGAGGGATCTCTCCCGGGTCTCATTTCTAAGGGTACTGATCCCATTCATAAGGGCTCTACCCTCATGACCTAATCACCTCCTAAAGGCCCCACCTCCAAATACCATCACATTAGGAGTTAGGATTTCAGCAGGAATTTTGAGGGGACACAAACATTCAGTCCATAACAGAGCTCTCTTTAGTTTATATGACTTGATGACTTGTCAGTTTTGTGTTTTTGTTTTTGTTTTTTGGTGAAGAAGATTCGCCCTGAGCTAACATCTATTGCCAATCTTCCTCTTTTTCTTGAGGAAGATTCACCCTGAGCTAACATCTGTGCCAGTCTTCCTCTATTTTGTATGTGGGTCACTGCCACATGAATGGCATAGGTCCACCTGGGATCCAAACGCGCGCACCCGGGCCGCCGAAGTGGAGTGCACTGAACTCAACCACTAGGCTATGGTGCCAGCCCCTTGTCAGTTTTCGATGAGGCTTACCAAGATAATTCTGACCTTTCCTGATGCCTTCTATAGGAGTTCAAAACACATTCATCCGAAAAGCTCTAAGGGATAGCAGCTGGATATCTTTCCTTCTCGTTCAGGCTTGTAAGGGCATAGGTTAGCACTGTCTCGTTTCCCTGAACAGTCATTATATCCTCTCTGCCTCCCCTGCCTTCCCAGCACACAGATCCAGGTAGTCTCTGCTGCTAACCAGCCGCTTGCCCGCGCTTCCTGTGGCACGGAGGGGTTTCGGAATGCCAAGAAGGGCACGGGCATTGCAGCACAAACAGCAGGCATAGCTGCCGCAGCGGTAAGTGTGTGTTCTTTCTGCTCCCTCTGAGGTGAGTTCCACTTTCTGCATGGCTGATCCCTGTGAGGAGAATTCTCCTTGAACTAGCTGTTCAGAAGCAATGGGGTATTTGCCAACCCTTGTTAGTTACCCTAACATTGGGGTGGTTTGAAGAGGTCTGTGTGAAAAGGCTTCTCTTCTCTTTCTCTCAGTTTCAGTAGAAGTGAAACGCTTGTTGGTTCATTCTAGAAGAGGTAAGAGCCAGGTACTGAAGGCTTACCAAAGCTGCCTCAATTTACAGACCAGTGGGATGGGGCTGGGATTGTTGATAATAGTCCATTTGGAGAAGAGGTGGTGTGGTGAGGTCTTTCATGCAGTAGCAGTTTGAGTGTGAACTGTTGCAGGCCTTTCTAGAAGCAGATTGGCAGTGTGCTGCTATGTGTATATTTATCGAGCATCAACTATGTGCCAGATATTTACATTCATTATCCTGAATCCTCAGAAGACCCTTGGCATTGACCGCGTTTTTCAAGGCTATTTGAGATTCAGAGTGTACAACTTGCTCGGGGCCACGCAGCCAGTTCCGTTCCCTGAACTGGACCCAGACTGGTCTGGGACAAAGCCTGTGTGCACTGTCTGCTGTAGCACAGGCCTTACAGAGATTGACACTGCCAAACTCGAGTGTTTCCTGAAGGAAAACCTTGACCTTCAAACATAGCCCAGTGCCCAAAAGTATTGATTGCTGTGTATTAATGATCATCAAAATCTGCTAAATGTCCACCAATGGACAGATTATATACACTTAAAAGAAGTATGTCAGTGTTAACAGTGGCTTCTGCATGGTAGGTTGAGTGAATTCTGTGTGTTTTCCAGACTTTCTATAATGAACTGCCTTTATAATCAAGAAAGAAAGATATAACTGTAACTAAAGATTTAAAATGATAAGGTAACACTTTTTAAGTGGGTATTTAGGTTCAGCCTTGCAGTCCAGAGGACCTCCTCATGGTCTGAAATTCTGCATTTACCCACCTGAGACAAATCTGAGTGATATTTAGAAATCTCCGTTAGGTGGCAGTGCTGTCCTGGGCTAAAAGGGATCACAGTTGACTGTAAATCTGTGACTTGACAAGTTCTGTGCTCTCTGCTGGTGTCCTGCACTGTGGCCGTCTGTCCTTTGCTGCCTTCTCTGTCCTCTGCCTGTTCACATATGTGGGTTTCTTTCCCTGGGGCTCATCACCTGTTGCTTCAGGTGGCAGTAGCAAGAGAGCTGGTAGAAGTTCTCTCTCTCTGGAGCACTAACCACTTGCTGCTCCTCTCCAGAAAGCTGCCGGGAAGGGAGTGACCCACATCCGAGTTGTTGTGAAAGGCCTGGGGCCAGGGCGCTTGGTAAGTGACCGGGACTCTCCACTGTGAGTGTGCTTGCTTCTTTAGTTCGTGCAGAAGCGGGCTTGAGAGCAGAGTAGAGAGAGTGGAAAAGGACCCTGTAGAGGATTTCCATGATGGCTTGAAGTTTCTTTCTATTGTTCTTCTAATCTACTAAGCTGCTCAGAGCAAGCCCAGATCACTTATTTTAATTCATCAGACACTTATTGAGTACCTGCTGTGTGCCAGGCACTGGGCATAGAAAGGTGGTCCCTGGGGGACTATCACAAATGGATCCCTCATGCAGACTAGTGAGGGCAGTGGTGAAGCTTGTGCCCAGGGTGCCGGGAGCCCATTGGTCTGATGAAGACAGCTTCCCCACCGAGGTGACATCTCTACTGACTTTTCAAAAATAACGAAGTATTAGCCAGATGTGGTGGGAGAGATGGGACATTCCAGACAGAGGAAACCACAAAAGTGTAATGCTTAAGGTGTATTGAGTTGACAAGTAGTCTTTGTTCTTAGATTGTAAAGTTCAAGGGAGGAAGTGCAGGTGCACCTAGAGAAGTGGACAGCACTGAGGACTCGGTTAAGGGTTTTGGTTGGGAGGCGTGTGTGAGAGAAGAGAATAGGGTTGGGATTGTAGGGATCAAAGCCAGTGAGCCTCCCCACTCTCCTCCCCACCCCACCCCGTGCCTCTCTGAGCCCTATCAGGACATGCTGGGGCGTTGTTTCTGGGAGTGTGCCATGCTACTGTTCCTTCTGCTCCTTGCAGTCTGCCATCAAGGGACTGACCATGGGGGGCCTGGAAGTGATCTCAATCACAGACAACACCCCCATCCCACACAACGGCTGCCGCCCCAGGAAGGCTCGGAGGCTGTGATGGCAAGGGAGCCTGCGCCTGAACCTGACCTCAGTCGCGCCTCCTGCTGGACCTCATGGAAAGCACACTGTCAGAGCCCTCCAGATGAGGGCTTGTTGGAGATCCTTCAGGCAGGAAGGGAGAGCTTTGCCTCCTTACGTGGTAGCCTTTGCTTGTTCCTTCCACTGGAGATCCATGCACCCAGAAGTGAGGCCGCGCCTCTCTTGGACACAAGGGGAGCTCCAGGGCAGCTGTGGCTCAGATTCCAACCAGTAAATGCCACCTCTGCACTGCAAAAATAAAGATATCTCCACCATCTCTAGCAATTTATGAAGTTTTTGCTTCCAGAGCTGCAAACAGTAATCCCCACTTCCTCCTGAAAAAGAGATTGTGAAGTGAGGTGAGACCCTGGATGGAAGGGTTAAAATGTCAATGTGAGGTGCTTTTCCTTGACACTTTCCTCTTTGGTTTCAGATATTTCCTTTTTAGCCCCTTAACCAAGGTTCCCCGAGCTCATTATAGCAACTTTTCTTATTAACTTGTAATTTGGCCCCAAATTGAGAGCTTTTTGCCTCCTGCCTCTCGAGTATCCTGATAGTAGAAGATTTCACTGTTAGTGGGTATGTTTAAAGTCAGCCCTAACAGTGAGGGAGGATTGTCCTGCGTTCGGATTCTCTAAGAGTGGACAATCAGAGATTCCCCACAGTAAAGTCATCGTTTACACACTCCACGGGATTCAGCAGTCTCAACACCCAAAACTGAGTGACCCTAAAGGGGGGAGGCTAGACTGACATAAAACAAGATTCTCTAGAAAATAGGGTGGATGGAGGGATGCTCGAGAGCAGAGCCCAAATCGGGAAGTGCAGAAAAGCAAGTTGGTGTGGAGCCTGGGTGGTGCTGACACAAGGGGGCTCAGGCCAGGCTCCCCAGGCAGGACTACCTGCTGGTTAGTCAAGGTTCCAGGGTCCCTGGATGCTACACAGAAACCAAAGGTGAGGGCTCGAGAGACCCCTCCTTGGGTCAGAGAGGGCCAAGGATGAGAGCAGCACCAAGAGATGAAGAGGAGGGGTGCACATACACAAAAGCACTGTGCCTCCGAGCCCAGTCTGCAGGAGGGGCCTGCTGACCGCCAAAGGGAAGGCACTGTGGGCTTCCGCATCTGCCCAGCCAGCTGAGCAGTGCATCTGCCTGAACTCGATGTAGTTAATCCACAAATGCCCTCTTACATAGGAAAGCAGCTGTGATACACAGGGGCAGAGAAGGGGGACGACCATGACCTGGATGTGAATTTAGAAGGAAAAATATCTCCCTACTGCCTTCTCTTCCATCCTTAGCAGGATCTGTGAAGGTGAACTTGTGCCCAGTGACTAAAGAAACCTAACTGGAGGCTTCTGTGTTAACCACTGCCAAAAAGAGTTACACTATTTTACCACAAAACTACATGTAAACACGATGCGTAAAAAACGCAGGGCTCTTGAGAACTGCTCTGTGATTTGATATGGTTTTGCCTTTCTTCAGGTGGACAGAGGGCCTGGAGCAATTGGGCAGTTCATCAGTCAGGGCCTGAAAAGACCCGGATGGTTTAAACGGCTTAAAAAAGCAGCTTCATGAAGGTTCTTTAGAGGTGTGGGCAGGGTTAAGGGAATAAACATGCTGGAGCACTCAAGGCCGAGCAACAGCAGGAAGCGGTTACCGCCCAGCGGCAGAGGCAGGGGAAGAAAGTTCCAGAACCTGGCAGGGGCTGTTGCAGGGGGATGCAGCCTCTGCCATGACCATGGCCTGGCAGAGAGAGGGAAGAAACACCCTGGCTGCTCCCACCCTCTGGTCACCTGCTGATGTCCCCTGTGGCTGAACCCAGAGAGAAGCAAGAAGGCAGCGAGCAGGGTGGGGTGGTCCTCGGAGGGGCAGGTGGAGAATAGTGAGCACAGGTGGTCCCTGTCATTCCTCAAGAAATCCTCTGCACGCCGTAGTCTGAGAAAGTGTTATTTTATTCACGAGGGCTTTGAAAAGGAAGACACTGCCCAGGAGAGCCTACAAGCACAGACAGGACACTGGGAACCCTAAAGGATCAATAGTCTTGGGCTCAGAAACAGATGCCTGGCACAACCGCCAGGAGCCAATTAGTGTGGGTCGCCATCGTCTGTAAGGGTGTCCTGGACAACGCACACTGCTTTGTCATGAGCTCTCAGTGCACACGGTCATGTCCAGGCTCTGAGAGGCCAATGAAACTTGTGCTTTCTTAAACTGCATTACCTGTTAATCATTAGTTCTTGGCCACTCAAAGACTGGCCCTCCTCAGGGAGACTGAGGCACCTCAGCGAAGGCTGACCAACGAAGGCAGTTATGGTTTACCTACAATACCGAGCTGCCCCGGGCCCTGCGGCCACAAGCCCTTCCAGCAGCAGGCCTCGCTGTCCTGAGAACACAAGTGCACCATGTGCTTGCTCTTCCCCCAGGCAGAGAAGAGGCAGAGCCTAGCGTTGGGTCCCGAGTATTTGCACAAGCAGAGTGTTGGCATCAGCTTATGTGACACACTTCCTTGTCTCCTGGCAGCAGGGCCACGGATTATTTCTATGAGTGCATCTGCAGTTTTGCTTCTGCCAGCTCAAAGCTGGTGGCCTTAAAGGGAAGCCTCTCCCCTCCTCTCCTCCCCTCTCCTCCCCTCTCCTCCCCTCTCCTCCCCTCCCCTCCCCTCTCCTCCTCTCCCCTCCCCTCTCCTCCTCTCCCTGGTCTCTGCCTCTGCCAGCAAAAAGACAAGTACAATTTCTTTCCTTTCAGCATAGGCACAGTGTTTTCCTTTCTTTCAGCCCAAGTCATCACCTGACACCAAGAAGTATCGTCACTGCCAAAATAAGCCTGTTGAACCTAGAGTACCTGGATGCTGGCAGAATATCTCTCAGCACTTTAGGAGAAACCATTTCCAGTCACCTCTGCCTGCAACCTGGCTCTGACGTGGCCATTAAAAAAATGTGTATATACCTTCCCCCTGGGCTCCTTTATTCTTTTTCTCTATTCATTTTTTCCTATTCTGGAGTGACACCTTGCCTTTTAAATCTGAGTATTATCAGCCCAAAGTGATGGACTGGTCACTGTCAAAGCAGAAATGTCCATTCAACCAAACTGAGCAAACACGAGTTATTGCACAAACACAGGCTGGGCACTGGGGGTGCAGAGACGACACTGTCATTACTGTGCTGGAGCTCACAGTCTAAGGGAGCTAGACAGGCATGTGGCTGAGTCAGAAAGAAGTCCATAAAAGGCATGAATGTTATTGGTGTTTGAGTGAAAGAATGATCCCCTCCGTTTAAGGGATGGAATGGAAGGCTTTGTGGAGGGGATGGCAGGCAAGACAACCAAACAGATCAGCGGGTATCCTTAGGATTGGACACTGGCCAAGCAGCATGGCCCCAGGTTAAGGGGGTAAAAGATCATCAGCTTACTTCCTGGGTGTGGCTTATTTGGCTCTGTAGGTCATGGGCTTCAGACTGGATAGGAAGATGAATGGAGGTAAAAGCTTACCAAAGGATTGAGAGAAAAGGAACAAGTCAAAAAACTTGGGGTCACACCAAGAATAGAGTGGGTTCAACAGATGTGATGGAGAAAGGGAGATGGGCATGTAGAAGGCTGTAGTCAAGAAAGAACCTCAGAATTAGAGTTTAGAGCCAGCTCATTTACAGGCGATGAAGTTAGGTATGTAGGCATCTAAAATAGAGTGAAAATAAGAGTCACTGAGGTTTAAGTCAAGAAACTGAGATGTGGACAAAGAAAGCTGTCAGTCTTCATGGTGAAGCCCCAAAGCAGATGTCAGGGAAGGGGATAGAGAAGAAATCTGTGAGACAGTGGAAGTCCCCAAACAAAGTGGAGAGGCCCAAAGTACAGGAAGGAGCATAAGAGGTGAGGAAGAGGGGAGTAATCGATAGCATGAACTTCAAAAGAGAAGGACTGTTGCGAGGAGGTGGCAGAACAATGTTCCGGAAGGGGGATGAGGTGTTGGCAGCATGTTGACACCTATCCCTGGCCACTGAGGGGTGAGATGTGCAGAGTTAGGGGAGGAGGGGGGAGGAGTGTGGTGATGAGAGGCTGTCTCCTCTCAGAATCGAGCTCTAGGGACCACGGAGGGAAAGGAGGGGTGAGGAGAGTCCTGGAAAAGAATGCAGGCTGTAGGTTGGGGCCAGGCTGCTCGGTGTGGTGACTGTGGATGGAGGTGCTGAGAAGGGGTGGAAACGAGGACAGGGACCTGTCATAGCCGTGGTCTGGATTGGAACCTGTGAGCAATGTCTGCTCTACTTCTAACCTGCTTTCATAAAAAATACAAAAGGTCAGAAACCATGAAAAGATGCTCAATCTTACTAGTAATCAAGGACATGGAATTAAAATGCATGACCATCATTCCCCAAATGATGCTAATCAGAGCCATGGCGGGGATGAGATTGCCCAAGAAAAAAGCAGAGAATGAGGAAAAGAAGATGGCCAAATTGTAAATGCTGTGAGGAAGACAAGACTGCAAAGGAGGCAGGGGATGGAGCGATCAGAGAGACAGCAGGTGTGGCATCTCAGAAGCCAAAGGGGCAAGCACCTCAAGAAGGAAAGGACAGTCCAAGTGCAGACTGTGGCTGAGAGATCAGCTAGGAGCTCACGCAAGATGAGCACTGGGCAATGCTCGCTGGATTTGGTCCCATGACTGTCACCATTCACCAAAGGGAAAGGGGCGGAAGAGAGTGGGAGGTGAGGAAATGGAGATTTGACCAAGGATGCTGAGTCTTCTGGTAAAGGCTGTGTCATGGCCACAGGGAATGTGAGGAGACCCGCACTCTGCCCTCAGACCCCGTGGGCCATGAGTCGGGGTGTGGAGGAGCCCTGGACCTCAGTGAGAGGAGAGGGAAGAGGCTTAGAGCTGGGGAGAAGCAGACCTCAGCAAGGTGGCAGGAGGCCAAGCCTCAGAGGGAGACAGCCTGTGCGGGGCACCCCGTGACTGGCATGCCTGCTGTAAGTTGGGAACAGCAGCGTCTTACTTGAACAACGTGGGCACCGGCAGCGAAAACAGAACGTCCTTGCAATCAGTACACAGGGAACATTTCTTTTTTTTCCCCCAATATTCCATACAATTGTTCTGAAATAAAAGGGCCCTCCCTCTCTGAGCTCTTAATCGGGGGAACATAAATAGCTAGAGCCTCTTCAGAGGGAAATTTGACAATGTCTTTCAACACTTAAGATGTACAGACCTCTGGCTTCGTAATTCCCTTCTAGGAATTTGTCGTAGAGAGCAGTCTTTCCAGTAGAACTCCCTGCATAATGGAAATGCTCTGCACTGCCAGCATA